TGGATTAGCAAGTTCCTCCTCTAACAGGTTACGGAGTCAAAGCCCCTCTAGGCAGTTCTTGCCTAGAAAGACAACCGGTCGCCTTTTGGTGCCCCGGTGACCTCATTGTATTGAAAGAACAAAAGCCTTAGACACCGGGAACCCTCTTTTGCAGAACTCAGAATAAAACGCCTCAGAGGAGTGAGAAATCTGGCCTAAACACTTTGGCCAAACTGGGCAAATCATTTGGAAGTCAAAGCTGAGGGGTTTCGGCCTCTGGCTGCCGAGCCAGAGGTTGGGAGTTTGATTCCCCCGCTGGGCCTCCTGGGAGAAGAGCCAGCCTGGGTAGCCTTGGGCACACTATAAATAGTCCCAGGGCACTCCTGGAAGAAAGGAACAGTCATAAAGCAAAGCAAAAAAAGAGCAAAGCGTGCTGCCTATAGACCGCCCCATAGCGCTTTAAGCACTCTCTGGGTGGTTTACAAGTGAATTATGCAAGCTACACATTGCCCTTCCCTGTCACGTTCCTGGGGGTTACAATAGCCGAGGTCCGATAAACCAGTCCAGGGTCAGAGATATCAAGAATGCAAAGTCCAGAAACCAACTCACAGAAGGAAGTCCAATGTCAAAGTCCAGGGTCCAATACACAGTGTAGTTCAGGGTCAGAGTCCAGAGTCCAATACCAGCGTAGTCCAGGGTCAAAATCCAGAGTTCAGAGCCAGGAATACGATTCAAGAAGCGTGGATGCAAGCCAAGGTTTAGAGACTCTTTGCTTCCACGGAGTTTCTGGCTTCACTGGAAGCTGTTTTATAATGAAACAGCTCCTTGAGCTGCTGGAAAGCTTTCTATCCTGCTAATACTCAGGACTAGATGAACGTAGGTCTCTGTGGAAAGCCTTTGAGCGATCCTCTGATCTTCTTGTCCTAAGTCTTTCCCGAAGCCTGCCCCGAAGCCTGTCTGCTGTGGAGGGAGAATCTGGAGGTGTTTCAGGTGTTTCTGAACTCTCCACATTCTCTTCAGCCACAGTTAACCCTTCTGGGTCCAGGTCTTCGGAAGCACTCATGACACTCCCCCCAGCGAGCTGGGTACTCATTTTACTGACCTTGGAAGGATAGGAGGCTGAGTCCCTACCAAGATATTCAGTGTTGTCCAATATAACAATGTTTATTTATGGATTTGTAGGTAAATCGCATAAAGAAAATCATGGCTGGTCTTTTATTATTCATTCAATAAACGCTGCTTTGGTTAAATTTATGTTTGCTTATGTAGATTCACTTTAATCAAGGTATTTATATATTCAATTCTTAGCACTTTTGACATGCTCTGTTAAGTCTAGCCCAATCAAACATGGCTACTTTAAATATACCAGTCCAGTCTTTATACTTTATATGTACGTTAGCTACAGGTAGATTAATCAATTCTGTCCCAATTCCTTTAACTGTAATTTTCTCATTTGGAATGATATCTTCTTGTGGAATAATATCTGTATGGCGTACAGTATAGATATCTGAGAACGTGAGCGTATAGTGATTAAAACATCATTGAAATAACATCAACTGTGGGTCCTGATGATGGCAATTTTAATCGTATTTTAATTGTATTTTAATTGTATTTTAATTGTATTTTAATTTCACTCTCATTACAAGGTTCTTTAATTCCTCCTCACTTTCTGCCATCAGAGTGGTATCATCTGCATATCGGAGGTTGTTGATATTTCTTCCGGCAATCTTAATTCCGGCTTGGGTTTCTTCCAGTAGCAGTGAACCATCTGTGCTATAGGTGGCGGTTGCTCCTGACCCTCTCTTTTGGCAGTTAAACTGTCATTTTATTTATTTTATTTATTTATTTATTTTATTTATATCCCGCCTATCTGGTCGTGTGAGGACCACTCTAGGCGGCTTGCCTTCTCTCAGAATTTTCTTTCTGTTGTTGCACATAGTATATTTTCTTAGGCGCATTTCCCTCTTCTTTCTGTAGATTGAAGTCTTTACTCTTGGGTTTGAAACTCAGAAATTAAGTCCCTTGGTTTCCCACAGCCATGACACCATTGGGGGGGGGGCTTGTCTCCCTTCCCTGCTTTTATATTTCTGTTGATTTTGCTCTGGGGTTTTGTCCCTAAACTGGCTTCCATGTGCCTGTTTGTTGTGGTGGTAATTTCTGGGCTCTTTCCTTCTGTCTTCCTAGTTTCTATTACCAAATTTTACTTCAGAATATTTTGAGTTTCTTTTTCTCTCATTTCCATTTCTATCTGTCTGGCTTCAGCTCTTTCTAGCCACCTAGAGTGGTCATATCAACCAGATAGGTGGGGTATAAATTAAATAAATAAATAAATAAACAAACAAACAAATAAATAAATAAATAAATAAAGTTGGCAGGTTGCTTTCTCACAGATTCAAATAGACAAGCCTCATTTTAAAAGGGACCTACAGTATTTTTTAGCTTTTTGTTTCTGATCATGGGATTTTTACCGTACAATTGCACTCATTTCCGACGCTAGCAAGGTTATGCTCAAAATCCTCCAAGGTAGGCTTCAACAGTATGTGGACAGAGAACTCAAGTACAAGCTGGATTTCGAAAGGGAAGAGGAAATCGAGACCAAATTGCTAACATGCGCTGGATTATGGAGAAAGCCAGAGAGTTCCAGAAAAACATCTACTTCTGCTTCATTGACTATGCAAAAG